TAACATTCCCCAGTTTTCCCAGTATAGTTGGAGGCGTCCACCCACTTGAGATGGTTGTACTGGAACGGCTGGGGGTGGAAGACTCCAGTCGTTCCAACCTGTCTTTCAGCGTTTATAGTTAAGGGAACCTCTGGGTGTCCTGCCTCTTCCTGATCCTCCTCTATAGTTGCCGAATGGGCTTATTTAAAAGAATCTTTTCCTCTAGAGCTGGCTATCTTCCTGTCTCTCGTGCTCTCTGTAGGCACGTGAATTTAGATCTTCCTGAGTATCTTTGTGAAGTCTGTCGAATGACGCTGGCTAGTGTGTCCATCGATTTAATCATAAGGACTTCTCTGGAATCCTTAGTGACTTCCTTGGAAACTTTGTCTATTTCTCCGTTAAAGATGGATGTTGAAGACCACGGGGCTGTATACAGTGGGGCTGTAAAGTTCTCACCCCAGTTGCAGGAAGCGAGGAGGCCTTGACGACGAGCTAAGGTCAGTGCTGCTGAAATAGATGTAAGATGATCTGTTAGGAACTGCTGGTCTTTCTTTTGCATAAGTAAGGCAGAATAAATCATTCTATCATCCTCAGAAGTAAGTCGACACGAAATCTGGTGATAAGAGTCTCATTGATCGTTCTAGATCTATTTAAACCAAAAAACATACGTCTCGTCATGGTTTCTATCTGGACTAACTTGCGATCATCAATCTTGTAATTCTTGTACTTGACGTCGTTGATCAACTTATAGTTCTCATCGATGTCTTGAGCTTTGAAGAAGGGGTCCATGTTATGCGTGGAGAACTTCTTGGCATGAAAGTTTGGTAGATGTGGTGTCTGAACTTTCGTGGCTTTGTGGAATGCTGCATCTAGATTCTGTGGGACTGCTGCAATCGGGTCGATCGGTGGTAGTGTGATAGCATCTGCATCGTCTTCTTTCATCAGATATGTCTGCGCCACATTGCCATTTTTAGATGGTGATGAGAGATCTAGGTTATTGACCATCCAATACCGTATCTCAGCATCGGAGAAAATAACTCCTCCATCATCCTCTTCACCATCATCATTGATGAGAGGTTGGTGCTGCTCTGGACTGCGTGCTTCTGTCTCTACGTCCGGCGATGCTTGTGCAGCTCTGTATGGTGACCTGTAAGGTGATCTATGTGGTGATGAACGAGGAGGAGATCGTCTAGGTGATCTACGTCTATGGGTTGATCTTCTCGGTGACCTGTGAGGAGAACGTTGATAGCTTCGCGAAGCTCTTGTGTAGTCCCTCGATGTCCTTCTAGATGATGCTGATCTGGATTCAGCTGCCCTTCGCGAATGCCTTCGCGAAGCTTCCTCTGCGTCCGGTCCGGGGGAATTACGATAAGACCTTCGCGAAGGCTTTCGTGATGTCTGATGGTCCGAGTCCACATCTTGGGATGAAAGTGACGAGGGTGATGATCTATCCCGCCTGCGCGAAGGCTGTACATCTAGGTCCTTCGTGGAGGTGGTCCGTGCCTTCCTTCGCGAAGGTGACATCGTCCTGGCTGCTACGTTGACGGGGGGTGCCTCTGGGGTGCTGTCTACGTTGGAGCCTTCGCGAAGGCTCGGTCCTTGCTTCTGCAGTCTATATCGGTCTTCCATCATCGTCATAATTTGCTGCATCAGGTCATCAGGGATGGTCTGCGACGATGTCGTCTGAGCCTTCTCTGCGGTGTTAATGATGGGGTCCACAGCAATAACGTCTGACATCAGTGTAGAGGCATCAGGCTGCATGGAGATCTCTGCTGAAGTCACTGTCGCTGACACCGGTCGCTTCTTGTGCCGTATGTCGGGGATGATAATCGGCTGGTCATCGTAGAGGCCCATTTCTTCGGCTGGAACGATCTCGGCTGAGAAAGTTCTCGCTGTCTTCGTAGACTTTCCTTTGGATGTCGACGCTGCCCTGGGGGTACGAAGTCTGTGTTGAGAAGACGTCGAGGCCCTCTTGGACTTTAGCTGCGATGACGGGATGTCTGGGGAGGCCGGTCGCTTCTTAGAGGTGACGGACTGCGCCCCGTCCCTCTTCCGATGGGGTCTCTAGCAGAACACCAGACGGTAGGGGGTCGTCGCCAGCAGCTGACTAGATGGAGTATCTGGAGTATCAGCCATATTTAGCCCTTGTTTGCGTGACCTATCTGCAGCACGCCTTAAGACGCTTAAAAGATAATATTTATTAAATGCAGAATTAGATAAATTAATGCAATAACTGCAACGTGAATCAAACGCGACACGGGTAGAACAACTAGGGCATATTACATGGATCTGAGGCAGAAAACGTAATCTACAAATAGTACAGATTTTCATCAACGTAATACTAGCTGAACAATCACGAATACACGTGAATAAACAGTAGAAATACGATAAATAATCAATACAAATTACTGAAGGATACTAGCTATACCTCTATAGTAAACTATAAGAGGTAATAAACTAAGAAATATCAAAGGATATGTTGTGTAAGGAGACACAGGCGCTCTCGCATCCTGCTCACTGGGTGAAGAAGGAGAGAGTGAAGCACGAGGTATAAGGTGGCGACACCTTTCCCGCCAGAGGGATTAAAGGGGAGCAACTCGTGGTGAGTACTAATTAGTGATTTTACATTGAAGGGAGCTTCAATTAAGGAGGTACAAGTGTTTCCACTATGTTCGCAAGAAGAAGAAGACAAGCAAAAGAGCATGAGTCAGGATAAGGAAAAATGTGGGAAATACATACTTAGTCAAATTATTTCGAGAGTGTTTTCCATCATCTGCTTTAAAATTGTAATGTGTATTGCATTTTTACAAGCCTATTTTGAACTGGATATTACACTTGTGAGTTCATAACAAATATTCATGATCTCTAACTTTTCATCAATAGTAATAACTGTCTACCATTTTCTGTACACCTGCTATGAAACAACATTCATGGTCTTGACATTAACATTAATTAAAAAAACTGAAGACATAACTAAAAACATTGTGACTTGAAATTAGAACAAGCATTGTCACTAAGGTGACATAATCCCCCGCCGCAAATTATCAAATCAAACTTATAAAGTAATGAAAGTTTAGATGAAGTTAAATGTCAACAAAAACATGACCAGTCAACCTCTCTTGATATCTTGCTCTTTAGTCGTTCAAACACACACATATTTTCAAGACTGACTTTGACCTTGACATGAATGTCAAAGTGTATGAAATACTGTAAACATACTTATTTTCGCGGAATTGACAGTTTAGACTACATCGCGTGGTCAATTATTCGAGCAATCAGTAATTGCCGGAACTGCCAGCTGTCTCTTTGGCCGCCACTAATAGCAGTGAAAACAAACAGAGTGGCTTAACCTGTCAGGCGGCGTTTATTGCTTACTCACAGGAAATCCTTATCTGTGCAATATACTAGTACACAGTAATCTGTTTACTCACGGAAGAGATGAAAAACACATCAGTCTTATGTTCCGAATTCTGACGATCTGACGAATTAACTTCTACTGTATATGAAGCTCTTTGTGATTTCAAACAAGCCGGGTTGTTGTGAATGAGATGATTGAGTGTTAAGTGACTATTCGCTTCATGATGTACTGGTAAATAAAATCTTAATGAATAAATATAATACTGCTGTATTATTTCTTTCCGAAGTCGCTTCATGGTAATCTGTTTTGTATCAAACCATCTGTCATGTGACCAATTTCCATGGTATGCCACAACACACATTGCTGTTTTTCGCTAATTCGGCGATGGGATTTCGCTCATTATTTAATTATGTTTTGGGAAATCCATTACAGCGACAGTTAAGTATGATTCTTTATGCTACTGTCAGTCGTCATTTTAAGATTCCCGTAGATTTCTGTCTTCAAACTTGATGTGTTATGGTAACAACTCAGGGGCGAGCGTGGCTAGACTGAACGAATGACAGGTTTATCCGCGGTGTATAAATTTCCGCGTTAAAATGTATGCAACAAGAAGACAAAGTCATCAATATCCCCTGCAATGGCAAAATACTCTTCATGATTATGTCTACGAGTTATGATTATGTCAAATATTTAGGTGTGTATGTAGAAAAGTGGAAGGAGCCAAAAAATATTTTATTCAGAATTCCAAAACTAGCAAAACACACCAGTACACCTCCAGATCTATCTATGTGCCAAGTTTGGTAAAGAAACATTGAACGGTTTTAGACTTCTGCTCCGGAAAAGAGCACTACCACTAATTTCAGTTTAAGTCGAACTTGTTGCCACGGAAACGCCAAAAATATTTTATTCAGAATTCCAAAACTACCAAAAGGCACCAGTACACTACCAGACCTATCTATGTGTCAAGTTTGGTGAAGAAATATTGAACGGTTTTAGAATTCTGCTCCGGAAAAGACACATGTGCATGGACGGACGGATGCACGCACGCACGGACGGAGTCCATTTTAATACCCCCTGCAAAACGTGTTGCGGGGGATAAAAAGAATCACATGTGCCCAAGTGCACTAGACATGTTTTTCAGGTGTGCCATTTTTAAGTGTGCCACGTCTATTTTACCCAATAATTAAAGCAAAAGGCAGCTAAATACATTAGATCAAAGTTTTTGTAATAAATGATAGGTTTGGGGGCAGGGGGATGTCTTTCCACTGTCAATGACAAAGTTGAACATTCGATTGCAAAAATATCAACAATAAGACAGATGATCTCCTTGTTTACAGATCAACATGACCAAATGTAGTAGAATAATCAGTATATCAATACGTGTTGCCTACCAAATGTACCAACAAAGCACTCTTTGTTATATTCTTGGGTGCCATTATATATTTTATGTGTCGTGGGCACAGCAGCACTAGTAATTTTAGCAACATTAATCTTCAATTTGTTACCACAAAAAAACTGAATAAAGGAATACACAGTAGTGTGATACAAAGAAAGCACATGTTGAAAGTTGAGGGTTTCACAATACTGTGTAAAGTAGGTTCCATAATTATTTCTGATTTCCTATAGATTCAGTTAATTCCTAGCTGTTTTTAAGTTATCTCACCCTTTTGTGGAGACGGTCCTGTCACACTTGGAACACAGAAGAGCGCCCAAATCACTATAGCACTGAAAATATAAAAACATCAGTGATATATACAATAACTGAGGAAGATTCTTCTCTGGGATGACTCATTTCATTTATTTTCTAAAATTGTATGCTTGTGACAGACCTGTATTAAATAGTTAGAATGATATAACCATTAAAGAGAGAAAAGCACCTTAGTGGCATTATTAACAATGATAATTCATAACAAGAGTCATCAGGAGATGACATATCAGCCTGGTCTGGTGCAATGTGAAAATGGAGTTTGGCTACTTATTACCCAGTGTTGGCACTGAATTCCTTCAGTATTTTCAAAAGATGAAGGTAATTGAAGGCACCTGTTCACCACTACAATGTTCTGTAAAGCTAGTTTAAACAAAAAATATTTCAGCTGTTTAGGAGTTCTTCTGGAGCTATGAGCACTATCCTCATTTTCAGGAAAGTTGTCAAGAAAAAATACATCACACACCAAAAACTATCCTAACTCATCAAAAGGCACCAGTTCACCACTGGACTGATGTCTATAGAAGGTTTCAACTAAAAATATTTAAGGACATTCTGGGAAACAGACAGGGCACACACTGATACTCTGATTGTCACTACTGTCATTTTAATCTCAGTCTAATCATTACCACGGAAACTTAAAAAATAGATGTTTTCCAATACTCCAATACTATCAAAAGGCACCAGTTTACCACTGGACCCATCCATATTCATCTATGTGATAACACACATGATACAATGTGAAAACAAAGAAAAAAATTGGAAATTTTAACTATAAATTGTATTTTTAATATGCTTATCCTATCTCATGTTATGCACTTCTCTCTCTGGGATACGGTGAAAACGTTTTTAACTGAATCACCGGTACATTGGACCAAAACATCTTAACTGAATGCTATTTCCGGCTTGGTTGAATAACAGGTAGCATAACAGGAACAACAAATGAATTATCATGTCTAGTGATGTTTGATTGCAAGGTTCCTGTACATACATCTATTTTCATTTACAAAGTTTGTTTTTTTCACGTCCAACAATACGATACAGTTTCGACAGGGCACAATACACGAAATAGCAGTTTTGTTATGTCCATGGAAAATACGAATTTACCATAGGTGCCCGACTCTAATATATCTATAAGTATGACCTAGAAAATCTATATATATAAGATATAAGAAAGGCGTGTCAGTAAATCAAAACAAAATGGCGGCCCGGCTCGGCTCGGCTCGGCTCGGTTAGGTTTCGGTCTGACAAATGCTTCCATCGCTTTGACCGTTGAACAAACTGCACAATTTATACTCAGTTGACCTCTGTAAAGTACCTTGCGTATAACTAACCTGGTGATTTTATTCATATTTAAAGCTTTCAATAATTTTGACGTCCATTAAATTAAAAAGTCAGGACATATGCCCGGAAGTAAACAAATCTCAGGCTACAGACCCGCACTGAATAGTAGAGAGAGTTTCTGATTGGATAATATATTAGCACGTTAAAAGAGGTGGGAATAGTAGAAGACTATATCCAATCAGAGACTCGCTCTACTATTCGGTCCAGAGTGTCCTGAGAGGGGAGTTTTGGAGGGCTGACCTTATGAGTCAGGATAAGTATAAAATATCAATTTTAATCAGAAAATTACATATTTTTCCTTATCCTGACTCATGCTAAATGCTTGCAGAATCTGTCGGAACCAGTGGTGGGTCAGGCCAGTGGATTCACTGGCTGTTGTTTTACGTCCTGTATTACCCCCCATGGGAACTTATGATGGCGCTGTGACCATCCTGTACTTCTAACTTTTATCTGATGAGTCTGGGGGGACCACAGCTTGTCAGATTTCTTCCGAAAATTCTCCTGTCATTTTCGTGTGGATTTTAGATATACTAATGTTCCATTAGTTATCTATTGCAACTCCATATCTTGATGCGTGCATCAAGTGGAGATGCGACCCTTCTTCATATACGAGTAATTCCTATACAAGTACAGGGTCTTATCACTCATGCTAGTCTGTCCTAGATGTGCGCATGGACTTTCAGCCATTTACTCTCCAGAGTGTTGGTTTTCACAAGTCACGTGATCAAGGGTGAGATCCTTCTCAGCGCCTTTGTGGAACCGTTAGTCGTTGTGCTACAACAAGTGGCCCAAATTGGTGAATGCCTGAGACGTCTTCGGTGGCAATGTAGTGGTTGGCAAACACCATGTCAGACTTCAAAAAGCATCCCTCCATTATAGATGAGATCATGCAGTTTCCGTGCAGAGCGAGTGTGGACGTCAGTGCTCTGACTTCGTGCGGGTTGGAAGCTCGTGGAGGTTCTAGTCATCCTGCTTTGTAGGCCCTCAGCATAACGGCTCTAATCCAAAATGATATTGTCGTTCTTGAGACTTGTACAGATGTCTCTGCTGACAAGGGGATGAATAGGCGCTTGAATTTTCTTCTCCTTGTTTTAGTCTTTTGAAGATATATCTTCAGGGCTCTGACAGGACACAAGGATAAGTCCTGGGTGTCCTCTGGTCCAAAGATCATACATAGCGCTGGGACGTGGAACTGTCTGTCCGGTCGGCCAGGTAACTGATTCTTTGCAATGAAGTCCCTTCTAAGTCATAGATGTACTGCAGCACGGTCTCCCGTGTCGAATCTAGTTCGTCCAAAGTTCAGCACATGTATCTCTGACATCCGAGCTGCTGTGGCTAGGGCAAGGAGGAACAAAGTTTCCTGAGTGAGTAGCTCAAAGGTGGTCTGCTCTAGTGGTTTGTAAACATCACTCGGGAGATGTTTGAGAACTATGTTCAGATCCCAGGCTGGTGCTCTGAATTTCTTCTGCTAGTCTTCCAGCTTGAAGGAGTGTAGTAAAGCAAGTAGTTCTGGCACTTTCGTCAGCTTGATGCCTGTCTTCATGGTGACGACTGTACTGATAGCTGCCAGGTATGTAGATTGTGTCGAACCTTTCAATCGTCTCGTATATCTAAGGTGACACAGATATTCCGCCACTTGAGGATGGGTTGCTTTCATTGCTGTGAAGCCTTTCCGCGCTGCATACTGTTCAAATCTCTGCCACTTGTCGTCGTACAAGTTGCAAGTTGATCTGCGTAGAGCTAGAGTTACTGCTTTCGCTGCTCTGGCGGAGTACCCTCAAGCTTGATACAGTCCATATGTGTAGTTGGAACAATGCCGGATTCCCGTGAGCTTGCTTGGTGTGTGGATGGACGAGCAGGTTCGACTACTCTGGTAGTTTCAGGGTTGGACTTTCGAAATCTTGCCTGAGGACGGGAAATCATACGCTCGCTGGCCAATAGGGCGCGACCAAAATCAGTTGCAACAGTGTCGTCTGCTTGATTTTCTCTATCAGCGGGGATCCTACTGTCTGTATGATGAACTGAATTACTTCTGGATGTAACATTCATTCCGTCGGGGATGGTTGTAGTGGACGAGATAGAGCGCCTGCTATGACATTCTTTGCTCCTGGAATGTGACATGCCTTTATGTAGATGTTCAGGTCGTCAACGATGCTGAACAGGAGAAGGCTGAGCTTTAGCAGACTTATTTATCCTTGTCTGTTGATGTAGACTGCTACTGTGGAGTTGTCTGTGTGGACCGTGAGCATTGCATTCCTTAGTACGCTCGACCAGTGTTGTAAAGCGTTGATCACTGCTTTCATCTCCAACAGGTTGATGTGAAGAAGTTGACCCTGGCTCGACCACTTTCCTGCTGCCACTTCGTTGTCAAGGTGAGCACCCCATCCCTGTAGCGATGCATCCACGTAAAGATGAGTGTTGCAGGCCAGCTCTGTTAAATAGGTTCCTCTGCAAATATTCAACTTCTGGGTCCACCACAAGAGATATGAGTTCAGGTTGTCCGGTAGTACAATCAGGCCCATACTGTTCAGGTGAACATTCACAAATCTTGTAGTGGGCGCAACTGTAACCTCCCTCTGAGGGTCATGTCTTGAGCTGAGGTCAGTAGACTGAGAAGACATTGTCAAGTTCGTAGTGTCAACGGAGAGAGTATTGCTTGAGATACCTTGGCTTGTATCTTGACCCAACGATCCTCTGGGACGACTGTGTGATTCTGGGGTGTGATGAGCCATATTCCCAGAAATTGAAGATCCTGTTTTGGTTCCAACTCCGATTTAGGAGATTACTAGCCATCTACTGCAATCATGTCCTACGTTGTAGGTAAGTGGATCTAGGAACCCTTGCCATGTCCATCATGGAAGTGGAGAGATGATCGATTCTGGAATCATGGCTTGAAGCTTGTCTCATCAATCTTCCGTTAGTACGTAATGACGATGTTGTCACCAGAATCCCAACAATGTGCAGCGATGATGCATAATTCGTCGTCTCTAGATCAGCAAAATCTATGATGTACTGGGACTGCAATCGATGTGAAGTCTATTTATAGTCGACTGGCTGCCGTGAGGAGAAACTGTCTAACGCTTGTCAATGCAAGTCCCCAGATAACCAATATTAAATCTGCTGACAGGGGAAGTCCTCTATGACCCGTGAAGACAGTTGAACCACGCTGTACCCTGCTAACTGGACTGTAAATGGAGCCTTTCCCACGTTGAAAGAGTTGTTTACAACTGTCAACGACTTCCTGAAGCGTGACTATGACCGAGTTCTGCGCAGGGCGATGTCTCTCATGGACCAATCAGATGTGACGTCACCGTTTTGCAGGTAAATGATCATCGTAGAATCTTGTGCAGTCATTGATTTCTTCACCAACACTCGGCCTTCTCCGTAACCTCTCTGTTCGGCTTGTGCCGGAGTTACACGAGTGAACACGTGTATAGATGGCTGAGTGGAAGCGTGCGAAAACTTCGTCGCGTAGTACCGATGTAAACAGACTGTTCCGTCATCTGTTGTGACTATTCTTCAACTTTATAATCTTTACTGCAGTCGTCATCCTTCCTTCAGCCACGCGTTGATCCAACATAGCCAACATCTAGTTGTAGTGTCCAGTTGCGTTATCTTCTTATCTTCCACCTTGAAAGATCTACTACGGGATTCACTGATGATCTTGTAATCTCAA